CACGCCGCCCCCCGCGCGCATGCGCGGCCCCGCCAGGCCGAGGGCAGCGAGGGGCGTCCCCAAGGGCGAGCTGTGAGGCCACCGGTTCGCGTCCCGCTACCCGTTAAACCTGTCTACTCCCCTCATCCACGCGTGAATGTGGGCGGGTGTGTTCAGCCCTGACAGCCCTGTTAGGGCGAATCGGGGCAACAGAGTCCATGAAGAATAAATCCGCAAACCGAGTGATTAGCTTTGCCTGGGACGAGTTAATTTGTGCCAATTTTCCACATTTGGGAAGATATTTGTAGGGCCTCTGAGTGACAGAGGATGGGTTAGTGCACTCGTCTTCTCCTGCCCAGCTCACAGGCTGGGAAAGTGTGAGGGGAAGTGGAAAAAAATCCCATTAAAAATGTAAATACATTGCAGTAGAAGAAAAGGGATTTGGCAGTAATAATGTTTTGCCTGCACAAATTATGCGTTGTCATGAGCAGAGATCCCGTTCAGCTACAAATATTAGAAATTGCCGTTTGCGACTATAGTAATGATTAGAAATCTTCTTGGTTGTCAGAGGAAGAGTCTCAGGGTTGTTACTGCAGGCTTGGAAGCAGGCCATTCGCTTCCCACTAGTATTCCTACAGTGAAGTAAGACCAGAACTGCACAAGAGGAACTGAATCTGACAAATTCTTAAGAATATTGTGAGATTTTTATCTTTGGAGACCAGAATAACTAAAAAAATATGGCCTCTGCTTGGCATTTTCTACACAACATCCAGAAGGATGAGAATGGCAGGGTTTGGGATGGGAGTAAATCATGTATCCCTCGACAGGGAGAAGTTTCTTCATTGCTGATTGTTAGTGCTCACGTAACAGTAAGCATGAAAGGGCGGAAGAGAACGGTGTCATTTATTAAATGCATCTGATTTTAGAACTTGTTCAACCTAACTGTGATAGTGGATGAAACTTCTAGAGCGTATGGGGAAGCCAGCAAAATTTTCCAAGCAGAGTGCTAGGAAAAAGCACTGACACTTACTTTTTTTTTGAGGGAAAAAGATAAAAAGCGAGAATAATGCAAAAAAAGGGAAGAGCATGATTCCCTAACATGACAGGTGAGATGTCCGTCTCACAGAGTAGTGCACCATTAGTGTGACAAAATGTGTCACTGGCTACCTGGAGCATCGGTGGCTGCTGCCCACATCAGCGAATATGCTGCAGGGGATATAGGGAGCAGGAACCCACTGATGTGATTTGGGAACTTCACCTGGATCAGTTATATCCAGTGGTCTGAAAGTGCTGCAAGGAGCAGCCGCTGTTGCGACAGATTCATGAGCTGAGCTTGGGCCACGGCCGTGCAACGCGCATGACGTGCTCGCCCATGCTGCCTGCAACTTGTAGAGCGCCTGTTCCAGGCCTTTCCAGCCTCTTATTTCTCAACCTCAGTAATCCAGCAGTGCACAACTTCCACCCTAAATATATCCAAAAAATGTCTTATTTGTTGTGTGGGTCTAACTGTACACCAGCCTGTGGGGAAATGCTGTAGGGGAACCTGGAAGCCTCTTGAAAATAAAACACTAGTTTGAATTAAGCTGAAACCTGGCCTCAGTTGTCTTTACATCTTAAAGATGCTTTGCACGCTTATATTAGCTGAGAGTCTTGTTTGCTAGTAGAACGATGCAATATTTTTCGATTCCACTGCAGTGTAGCTGTGTACATGATTACAAATGTACATCTCAATCCTGCTTTCTTCAGTGAGCTCACAAAGGAATGTGGTTTCCTTATATACATAAATGTATATTTTTTTCAACTGTTCAAGACCATTCATACTCTTCAGTTCTTGACGTTATTTATTTTATAGTTTATTGTAGTTATTACTGTCATCTAATATGGTCATTTAGTGAAGCCTGATATCCAGGGATATTCAGATGCCTTTATTTGTGAGATAACTTTGAGAAGGACTTGTCAGGTAATTAACAGAGACAATCTGAGCTGAAATCTTGATAGATGCAAAGCATCTGTTCTTCACTAATTTGTAGTTCTTTCTGAACTCAGTAATCTCATTTAACTTTACAGCCCCAGCTAATTTTCCTAACCTGTATTTCTGCTGATATTTCTGTTTCTAGGACTATCCAGGAAAAAAAATAAGCACAGACCTCATGTCTTTGCTTGTGCTTACACCAATTCATTTTCTGGAGAGTCCTAAGAGTATCTCTCCTTCTGCTTTTCTATATTCACCTCATTCCTCACATCTTCACTTTTTATATACTAAAGTTGAATTGCAAGTAGAGTGTTTGGCTTATGTCATGCACAGCATATTTGGAATATTTATAGTATTAATGTCTAATCACAATATGAGACCATTTCTACTCTTAATTTCTAACTCTTAATTTCTACTCTTAATTTCTAACTAGATTACATTTTACTTTATTTGGGAACTTTTATTGAAATCCAATTTTTGTTATAAAAAATCAATTACTACTTTTACTAGTTCATATATTCATACCCTGCAATCGCCACTATGGGAATTTACAAGCCAGTCATGACTAACGTTGCTTTCCCAGTCTTTTAGGAAAACATCCTACTTACTTATGTAGACCACTTACCAAATATTTCTCAGTTCCAGAGGCAGTTCTGAAAGTCTTGGCAACATCTAAGGTCCTGATTAAATTCTAAGATTCAAGACGAACAAAAGGAGATGCACAAGAAGCTGTGGAAACTAAAAGCTTATGTGCTTGCGAGAGGAGACTGGAAAAATACATGGAAGAGAGAGTTGTTAGAAGTCCTGGAATACACAGGAAATAAATCCTGGTCAGAAGGTGCCTGCTCTTTTCAGGGCCTGGGAGAGCTTTCGAGTATCTTCCCCTTTTTGTCCTCCGTGGGTGTTTGCTGTGTGTCTCTTACTGGACACGCAGGACGGACAGACCCTCTGCAGTGCTACTCGTCACGGCAGTGAGGCACGCGGCCCGTGACTGCAGCCTAAGACCTTTTTGGCTTTTGTCTGAGTAGTTGTGGACATCAGTGAATAATTCAGTAGTAATAAAATAACACGTTGGAGGTGGGTTCAGAAAGATTGTGACAGAGCACTGGAACAGGTTGCCAAGAGAGGTTGTGGAGTCTCCTTCTCTGGAGATCTTCAAAATCCACTTGGATGCAGCCCTTTGTGCTCTAGGTGACCCTGTGTGTGCAGGGGAGTTGGACTAGATGATCCCTAGAGCTCCCTTCCAACCTTAATGATTCTATGATTCTAAGATTGATACTAGCACAAATTAAAATAAAGTGCCCCTTCTTTCTTATTAGACCATGCTGCAGGATTTTTTTTTTCATAGTGGTCATAGTTTCATAGTGGTCGTAGTTTCATAGTGGTCAACATCTTTAGCGGGTTTTATGAGTGTTAATAGAATTGAATTCTCTTGAGGAGAGTTACATCATAACAGAACTGATAAAAGTGGTAACAAAATTTCGCAGGCTAGCCGATGTTTTCTGTTCTTTGAGGAAAATACCATTTTGTCTTTTTTATCTATCTCAAAAGCTTATATTACTCAGTATATCCTGATAAAAATATTTAAATTTATGAAATATCTGAAGTTCAGGTGACTACTGCTTGTATAAACTTTAATCTAAGATGAGTAAATTCTTTGTCTACATAGTTAGCTGAGGGCAGCTTAGGCACTTAATTCTAAAGATGATTATCTGAGAGTAAGGAATTCAGACCAGAAGAAATGACCTTAAGTTGCATGTGTAAAAACTCCTTACAGGGCCCTAAATAGTGAATGTAGAAATTCCTCTTTGTATATGAGTAAACTCCCAGTGGTGAAAGAAAAGTTTTATTTTGCGAAGATTAGCACTTCCTCTGTGATAAGCTTTCTGTTGCAAAGTTTTGTGCTCTTT